CATCCTTTCACTTTAAGATGGTGTCTGTCTTTGAAAGTAAGATGAGTTTCTTACAGACAACAAAAAGATGGGTTTCGTTTCTTGATCCATTCACCTAGTCTGTGTCTTTTGACTGAGGAGTTCAGTCTGTTGATATTTAAAGTTATTAATGAAAGATGTGTATTGAATCCTATCATTTTTATCTCTGTTCACTTTCTTGATATAGCTGTGTTTTCCACAGTTATACCTTCATTGAATTTCTTTCCACAACCCCTTGGGTATAGTCATTCCCTTCTTCAGCTCTTTGTATTGGTTCAAGAACTCTCTGAAGAGCTGGTTTTCTGGACATGAATTCTTTCAGCCCACTTAAGTCATGGAAGATTTTTCTTTCCCCTTTGGCTATAACAGATATTTTGGCTGGGTATAGTAATCTGGGTTGGCATCTGTGGTCATTTAAAACTGAGAATACTTTGGTCCAGGCTCTTCTGGCTTTCATAGTTTGCACTGAAAAGTGAGTCGTAATCCTGATGGGTTTTCCTTTTTATGTGACTTGTTCTTTTTCTTTTGCCACTTTCAGTATCGTCTCTTCTTTCTGTACATTTATTGTTTTTACTATGATGTGCCATGGAGAGTTTTTTTTTCTGGTCCTATCTATTTGTTGTTCTATATGCTTCTTGTATTTGTATGGGCATCTCTTTCTTTAATTTTGGGAAATTTTCTTCTACAATTCTGTTGAAGATCTGGTCCATACGATTATCTTGAGATTCTTCTCCTTCCTGTATGCCTATGATTCATAAGTTTGCTCTTTTTATTGTGTCACACAATTCCTGCATGCTCCATACTTGTGTTTTCTTACATTTTTCATAATCTTAGCTTGCGTGGTCTAGTTCACCCACTTTTACCTTCAAGTGTTGATAATCTGTTTATTTCATTTTTCCTATTGGTGAGGCTTTGTCCTCTCGTTTCTAATTGGCTTATTGAGTGTTTCACTTCCTTCTTCATTTCAGCCTGAGTATTCTTCAATATTTCTAACTCTTCTGAATTCATTTAGAAGTTTATCCCTATCTTCCTTCAGTTCTTTGATTTCTTTGTGTGTTCTTCAAATTCACTGAATTCTTTTATCATGTCTATAATTGTTATTTTGAGATCCATGTCCTGTGTTATCTCTAGGGGGTTCTCATTTTACTCCTCTACATGACTATTGGTATTTAGTGGGGATATGTTATTTTGGTTTTCCATGTTATTATTTTTTCCTCTGTGACTTTGACATGTGAATTTCTTTTGTAGTTTTTGATTTCTTGTGTGAGACTCAAGCCTTCAAGTTCAGATCTGCTTCTTTTTGTAAACTCTATAAGTGACTTTGTGGTTTCCTTGTTGGGTATGAAAAGCTGGTTGGTCTAGACTTCAGGTTGTCTCTTTTAATTTTATATTGGAGTGGCCAGATTGCTTTCATCTTCAGGAGTTCTCACAGAGGCCCAAGTCAGATGAGGATCCTATGCTCTCAGGCTTTCTTCTGAGGTCTAGATCCCTCCAGGAGAGATGTTGTTCTCAGAAATTTGGGTGCTGAACTGGACTGGGAGCAACGCCCAGGAAAATGCTGGTCTTGGGCAGCTGGTGGCCATGCCTCACAGGGAAGCAGAGGGCGGTGAAGCTGGGACCAAGCCCAGAGGGCTTCTGGGGACCTCGAGAAGGAACTGGGTTGGTCTGGATGCAAAGGATCAGGAAGCAGTGGTGGCTCCGAGCCGAATGGTCATCCCCAGTGTCTGGGGTGCCAAGACAAGAATTGGGCAAGTGCCCAGGTTAGGAGGGAGATGGGGCGGGGGAGGTCCACAGGTGAATGAGGCTGGGGGAGTCAAGGCAAGGTCGGCGCCACTGGACTTACCCAGGAGAGTGGCTGGCAAGTTGTGCAGCCTGGGGCAGCAGCTCTTCTATTACGTTTTTGAGATAGGGTCTCCTTATGTAGCCCTGGCTGGTCTTGAACTCACTGTATATCTCAGGGAGGGACTCCATCAATGGAGATCATCATGCTTCATCTTTGCAAGTGTGAGCACTACAGGTGTATACCACACTCCTAGTGAAGAAGTTAGTTCTTGATGTCAAATCGTTACATTGAACTCATGATTATATTGTCTAACAATGGAAATTGTGGAATGCACACTGGACAGAGACAGAAAAAGCTATAAATTAGAGAAATGCTGAAAATTACCAGAGCCAGCAATTATATACTATATAAAAAATGAAGATTTTTATAAATTAGAATTCTTTGCCCATGTATATGATAAATACATAAATCTCAGTGTAATGATGCTTAGGTAGCTGAGTGGCATTTTATTTGAGTGTTTGTATTCAGATATGTCCTTAGGGCCTCATGCTTTAGCTACCTGCTAATTCTTTCTTCTCAGAAAAATACCTAGGTGTTAATTGAATTTAGTTTTAATCATATTTTCTTTTACTTTGTGAGTATATGTGTGTATAAAATAGAATGCTCACTTGATAAACTTGATTCCATTGCAAAGAATTAAGGGATTAGACATTTATGTGGCAAACTTTGCAGAAAATAATTTTATTAGCCCTTTCTCCTAGTTAGAGCCTTAAAGAAAACCCTGATTCTGAAAGCTTTTTAATAAAAATTCAAAAATGTGAGGTTGAACTATGGTTAAATTTTACTCAATTCTATTGTTATCGAACAATTGTACTGGTTAAAGCAAATTACTAATAAATTTAGTTTTTGTTCAATAAATTGTGCCATTGATTATATTAATTACAGAAAATGAGTTTGAGTGACAGTAATGCATTATATCCATGGAATAACAGACCTAATAGCTATTTTTAACATGAGAAATTTACTCCATTTTAAAGTTACTACAGATGAGAAATGTGAATATTACTGAAATATATTTCCCTCATTTTTTCTTACAGGGTCAACAAATTTCATTAGCACCAATTCATAAACTTGAAGAAGCTCTGTATGAATACCAACCACTGCAAATAGAGACAAGTGGACCACAAGTTCCCGAGCCTGAGATGTTAGGAAGACTTGGGTAAGTGTCAAAAGTACTTTCCATAGTGAGGAGCTGATGTGTAGGGCTCTGTTGCTACTTTTAACTGATATTTCAACATTCCAAGGTTTTTACTTTATAGATTAATTCCATTTTTAAAAAACAAGCAATGCTAAATAATAAATTTTTATTTAATAAATTTTTTTTTCCAGTGAATTTGCTAGGTTCTTGAGATTAGAACTGTAATGTAGTGGCTCTACCGAGACTATCTTTGGCAGCCATGTTTAAAGGGACTGTTTTTAGCTTGCTATGTTTTTTGTTTTGTTCTGTTTTTAAATTACCTTGGTAATAAACCAAGGTACTGTCCTTAAAAAAGAGTAGATTTATGCACTGTCTGCTACTGGTAGTGAAACTTCTCTCATTTTTGAGACATTACCCAGGAAATATATTTTGTCAAAAGGTAGAATGTAGGGCTGGCCCAACAGTTATATGTATCCTTTTTGGAGAACTTGAGAACCTGGCTTTTGTGAATGATGGAAATGGTCCATTTCTCTCCCCAAAGCAAATGAGGTTTTTACATACTTGGAAAGTACAGACACAGATGTCTCTAGATGGAGGAAAATATTTCTTGGTCTGGCCTTTTTAGTACAAAGTATAAAATTGAAGAATGATTCAGAAACTGCGTTTCTTTTTCTTTTAATTTTTTTGAGACCTGGTCTCACTGTGTAACCTTGGCTGGCCAGACTCGCTATGTAGACCAGGCTGGCCTCGAACTCACAGAGATCTGCCTGCCTCTGCAAGTGATGGGATCGAAGGTGTGAGTCATCATGTTTGGCCTAGCTACTATGTTTCTTAAGAAAAGAAAATAATTCATACAATAAGGCAAAGTAATTAAAATAAAATCAAAGACTCCAGCAATAGAAATAAGAAAGGTGAAACAAATAGTAAAGCCTATATGTATCTTCAAACTAAGACCAACCTCTTAAACATGATGCCTAGTATTCTACATGTGACTGTTGAGGCTCCAAGGTGAACTAACAGTAAAATGGCATAATATTTAATTATCCAGTATTAGATAGCTCTTAAGGATAGGTATCTTTAGTTCTCAATTCTCTTAAAGTCCTACAACCTCCAAATATGAAGCCAAAATGGGAACATCTAAAACTCCCATTGAGGTAATATATTGATTGATTAATTGTCCTATATGCTAAAATTAAAGCCTGAGGACCTAAAGATTATTATGTTATTTAGTATATTATTTATTGACGTTTTCATGTGTTGTTTGTTGTGTTTTTGGTGTGTGTGTGTGTGTGTGTGTGTGTGTGTGTGTGTGTGTGTGTAGGTACAGGTGCATATGCATCTGTGTGCACATGTGTATGTGTAGGCCAGAGTTTGTGTTTTGAGACAGGATAGCTTGCTAGGACCTGGAACTTACTGATTAGGCCAGCCTGCTTTCACTTCCCCAGTGTTGAGATTGCAAGTCTGTATCACCACAGTTGGATTTTTACATGGGGATTGAACTCAGATTGTCATATTTGTGTGTCAAGTGTTTTACCCACTAAGCTATCTCCCTAATCCCAAGAATATTGTATTTTATGGTATAAAAAGTTACACATAACACAAACATTGATCAAAAAAATATTTTATGAATTACCAACAGCCAGACTTCTGTTTCTCTAACCTTTAAAAAAAACTTTAACATCAGTAATAATTAGGTATTTGAAATAATTCCCTCTCTGTTAAAGCTTTGCATATAATATTGTCATGAATAATACATTTGAGAGATCATGGAAATGGCCATGAAGAGTCTGTTCTCTCCTCGTACCACATGAGTTCCAAGATGAAATTTAGCCTTGATAGTGAGTTCCTTTACCCTTTGGGCCTCGAAGTAAAAGGTTTGACAACAGCAGTTCAAAGGACAGGAAGAAGGAAAGAAAAGTTTGCTATTGAAATTTTTGTACATTGTCAATGAAATAGTATGTTATAAACCCCAGAATAACTACTAAAAGAAAATCAATAAAAAGTAAAACAAGAAGAAATAGCCAGTCAACCAATACCACAGAAAATAATGAGGTCATTAAAACACTTCATTTGGGATGGGGAGATGATTCGTGTTAAAATACTTGCTGATAAACCCAAGGACTGGAGTTTGGATCACCAGAGCTCATGTAAATGCAGGCAGGCAGAGTGGCCCACCTGTAATTCCAGCCTTGGAAGCTAGAGGCAGAGGATCCCTAGAGCAGCTGGCTGACTAGCCATATTGATGAGCTCTGGGTTTGATAGAGAGACCCTCCCTCATTGAATATGGTGGAAGAGTGACTGAGGATGATTCCCAACATCAACCTTGGGCCGCCACATGCATGTGCACCCATGTGCAAATGTGCATTGCACACATGCATACACACACACACACGTGAAAAAAAGCTTAGAGCAAAGGAAGAGGAAAAGGGAAACAAGAAGAAAGAGAAGTTAGAGAACAGCTTGATAAAGATTTAATCAATGTTATCAAGTTAAATGTAAATGTTGTACAATAGTGAGTAAAAATTTTTGTAATGCTGTAAATGTTCTAGATCTTTACTGTTAACTGTGGTAGCTACTGATCACATTTCTGCTGAGCACTTGAAATGTGCTTAGTGTAACTGAAAACTCAATTTTAATTTTTAGTGAATTTCATTAAATATTTAAACTTTCTTTGAATTTGATCTGTATTTTATTGTTTTAATTTGGCAAATACACAAATCATTATCTCTTTAAATATCCCTTCCTTATTTTCTGTTTTCATTCTATACCTCTGATTTCATGTTAAGCTTTAAACAGTTTTTGATTGATTCATTTTTACTTTGTGTGTATGAGTGTTTTGCCTTCATGTAAGTACACTGTGTGCATGGTAATGCCCACAAATACCAGAAGAGGGCATCAGATACCCTGGAACTGGAGTTACAGTTGATTATTAGCCACCATGTGGGTGCTGGGAACCAAGACCTGGTTCTCTGCAAGGGCAGCCAGTGCTCTTAACTGCTGAGCCATCTCTCTAGCCCATGTTAAGCTATTTATACTGCCATTTTTTTTAAATTGAGGCAACATACATAAATAGTAGGCTATCTTAACACATTTTAAGTAGACAATTCAGTGATATTAAATAGGTTCATGCTGTTGTGCAACCATCACTAATATCCATTTCCAGAACTTCGTATTTTGCAAAACTGAAACTTCATACTCACGGACACTTCCATTCTTCCTTTCCATTCAGTGTGTTTTTTGTCTCTGCATCTGATTGCTCCAAGTACCTCATAAAGTGAAATCATGGCATCTGTCTTTAGTGAATGGCTTATATCACATAGCATAATGCCCTCAAAGGTCATGCTGAACTGTGTGACAGGCGTTTTAGGGCTAAATAATGTCATGTTGTATACATATCCCACTTCTATTTATCCATTCATGCCTCTATGCACATTTGTGCTGTGTATATCGCTTGGTGATTGTAAATAGTGTCGCCACGAACCTGGATATCTGGGGTTGTGCTTTCAGTGTTTTTGGATATATAGCCAAAAGTAGGATTACTGGAACATTTCAATAGTTTTGGTATGAGGACTTTGTACTGTTCTCCATCAAAGCTGAGCCATTTTACATAACTAATAATAGTGTATCAGCGTTCTATATTTTTTGCCTTATTCCCACTGACACTTTCTTTTTTAAAACAGAAACTGTATTAATATACATAAAGGGATACTTGCTGCAGTTCTGGTTGGTATTTCCCAAGTGATTAATGATGTTGAATATCTTTTCATATATGTAAAGAGAGACCATATATAGATAGATAGATAGATAGATAGATAGATAGATAGATAGATAGATAGATATAGATAATAGATATACATATGTCTTTTTTTTAAGACTGGGTGGGGTGTGTGTGTGTGTGTGTCTGTATGTCTGTGTGTCTCCGTCTGTCTGTCTGAGCATGGAGGTCAGAGGACAACTTGCAAGAGTTGGTTCTTTCCTTGTACCATATGGGTCCTGAGGACTGAACTCAGGTCCTCAGGCTTGCAGTACATGCCCTGATCCTCTGAGCCATCTTAGCAGCCCAAATTATTGATTTTTATTTTGTTGAGTACATTTTTAAATGTATCAGTGAACTTTCATAGCATTATTTAAAACATCTAATAGTAGATATTATGTATATTTCTAGGTATTTGAAATAGTATTCAGGAAAGACTGAATTTTAGCTAATCATAAAATTTGTTTTAAATGAGTCAATTTAGGTTTCTGTTGATGAGTAATTGAAGACAATCTATGATTACCACTTAGGAAATGAGAATTTATTTAACAGCTTCATTAAAGTGTGATTTACATATAATAAAACACCTCCTTTTAGTGTATGCCTTCATGAGTTTTGATAAATGCATATGGGGTACAACCTCTGTAATCATAACTCTGTATCATCTGCTGTCACTGATGTGTTTTTTCTCAGAAAAAAGAATTTTATGACACAAAATGGTTATGTATATTTTAAAACTTTCTGTGGGAGAATGTAATGTTTTATATGCTTTTTTTTTGGTTAAGGTTGTTACATAATGTATGGCTTTTTTAGCTGTGGACAAACGATGTTCATTTTATTTTTCTTTTTGCGCACTTCATTTAAGTCAATACATTGTTATACAAAGCTCCTCAGGAGCATCAGAAAATGGAATAATAATGGAAAAACCCCAAAAGTCACAAAAGTGATTGTAGTATGTGTATGTGTATAACATAATTTATATTATACTTAGTTGTATTTATGGAAGTATTACTAAATTAAGTTTTCTTTTTTCCTTGCTATAATAGCAAAATGTCTTTCATATCTGTTTTTGTTAGTATTTGAATTAGAAATCAGCTTGCATATCAACATGAACCTTCATGCTTTAGGTTCTAGTCTGGCTTTTGTCTGGGAAGTTTTCAGTCTTTTTATGAAATCATGGAGAAATATGTTTCTGCTGAAGCTGTTGTCAAACAAGCTTCTTTCAACAGGCAGACTCAGGACAGCTGAACGAAGCTGTTTAGTCTAG